GGGGGGGGGGGAGGGTACTTCCCATTACGTGCTTAAACGTCTTCAACGTACGTTTATCCATAGAGATCGATTCAAGGCTTGCCTTATCAGTTTCGAAATAAAACACAACAAAATAAAATAAAAACGAAATAAAATAAAAGAAAATAAATAGGAATAAGGATAAAGAAAATAAATGAAATTAGGATTAAGTTCTCAGAGAGTGTTGCGTATATACGGCTCTTATAGGTGCTGATTCGATTGATTTGTAATTCAAGTCATAATTTGTCGATTCAGCCAAGAGGGTTTTCCGTAGAGAGCGGTAAATAAATGTCATCGATATACGAGTATTCGAAGAATAAAATCAATTCGATGACGAGATTTTTGTACTATACTTGACTTGTACTTGAAAGAACAATTGGATCGCGATAAAGATACGGTCAATTTCTTTGATGCTTTTTATTCTCGTGATTAGCATACTATGCAACAAAGAAGTTAATTTTTCTGGATTCTAGGCCATAGGTTATAAAGCGAAAGAACGTAGCTTTTCGACAAAATTCGAATAACAAGCAAGATAACCGACAGGTTCGTTGGACGCTTAAGTTGAGAATGGGCAAAGCTCCGTCCTTTACGTGGACACGCGTGTTTTACATTCACGCGGAACTCTTTATCTCGAAAGGAGTATCTGCGCTGCTGCGAGAGTTCCCCGTTTTTCAATCTAAGATTTCGCACACAGTTTCGCTTCATCTGTTATTAGCTTTTGGAAATTCCCATGGAAATTTCGTAACAAACGAAAATGTTTAGCGACGTCTCGATATAACGTTCAGGCTCGATATCTCGATCTTGAGCTTGAATCGCACTTAGTTAAAAGCACGGATAATTAGCTCGCACACGTTCCTAACGCGTAACTAGAATGTAAACGAGTTCCGAAAAAAACTCACTTTCTCGGCGGAATGATCTTCTTAAATCATTTTCCTGTTTACGCGTGTTTCACGAGTTATGTCGTGGGAGATTTCCAGGAAACGTGAAAGCGTATTGCTTTCTGGTAAATATGAAAAACAGTAAATTTGATCGAAGATCGATATGCTTTATTTCTTATGCCAATGTGAAAAATTACAGGTCATATGGTCCGTGGAGTAGTACTATATTATAAAATACCGGTCGATTCGCAATTATTTTGTACTAAAGTGAAAGAGCGAAGAAGCGAGAAAGAAGATTACGGATGAACTTGTCCCTGATAAATGATAATATTTATTATTATCTATTATTAGCGAGTGGCGCGTTTAACATATCGTTGTTATTATTTGTTGTACTTTTCAGCAATATGCGGGAGAACAGCGATAAAATTTAGTTCACGGTATATAAGTTAGCCGTGTATCGAAAACATTTATATCGCATTATCGTTAATTACATCTTTCTTCCATGGTATCGCATAAATAGTGTAAATTTGTTTAACGTAATGAAACACGCGGTGAAACAAGATTTTGCGATCGTTTATCATACGCGTCAAACGTAAACTCGGATATATATACATATACGAAAAATATATTTTATTTTCAAGTGCATTAGCTTTCTTTCTTCTTGCTCGCGATATTTTCATTCGTTCAACGGTAATCAACGACAATGTTGTTCAATGTTTCGGCATAGGATGGTCAGTCCAGCGTGGAAATTTCTGAACGTACTTGTAAAATTCATTGCCTGGACAGAGAGTATTCCTGGCTTGTCGATGTCCCAGCACGTGATAATCTTCATTGATTTTGCCAAGGGATACTCCGTAACTGATCAAGGCGTCCACCGCCTTCAAAGCTACTTCATTGGGAAGAATATCTGCAAAAATTATTATCGTTGCGTGCACTTAGATCTACGAACTTGGTTTTATCCAAACAAGTCTATGATTTCTACTTTTTGCTACTTCTACTATTGACTCGATCTTCCGAATTTCCATATCCATATCCACGACACTCGACACTATTCGCACACCTTAGCATTGAAAATATACCTAATTAACATGGATCTCGATATAACGATTGATTCTGTTGTACAATCTCGAAATTCTGTTCAACGTTAGATGGTAAAATATGATCGAATCCACCGAAACTATCCGTTTTGTTGTTTGTACGAAATTTATATTTTATATTTTATATTTTATATCTTATATTTTAATTTATATTTTAACGAATCCAATGGAACAAGTGAAATCTAAGCAGGGATTCGCTTTAACCATGAAATGTAGCGACGAGTACTATACTCTACGTGCCGTACGCATTTTCCACTTTGCAAATTTCGCATAGGTGCATAGAAATGCGCGCGGTCTACGCATGTAGCATGTTTCGTCCTAATTCTTAATGCGCTTGCTTATTCTATTATTTGTTTAAGAACGTTGTACCTTTGTTCGAATCGCACCACACTCACCACTAAAATCACCGATAACACATATTCCGATGCTCTGGGTGTTGTAACCAGGTGCATGCGCCCCGACATAATCCCAGCCTCGACCCTCGTAAACGTTGCCATCCTCGCCGATAACGAAGTTGTAACCGATATCGAACCACTGTCTATCGTCCATATGATAATTTTGGTAACTCCTTACGATCTCAGAGCACGCTTTTTGATCGTAACAGTGTTTAGCTATGCCTCCGTGATGAATGACCACGTAAGGTGTCGGCGTCACTTCCAACGGCACTCGGTCGACCGGTGGCCTGGCTTGCCACTCCAGCCTGCTCACGATGTTTGGCACCGCTACGCAATTAACGTGCTTTTCAGTATTTGCATTTCTCTAGCGAAACTCGATCGAAAGATCGGCGATACGGCACGGCGCGGGATTATCGGTAAAACGACTCGACGATGCAAAGTCATTGCTATTCTCTTTCTCTTGCTAGCTAGTTCCATGTCCATATGGGTATATTACGTTTTGCGGTGACAATCGATTTCAAGATTTCTTTCGTTTAGGTTGGCGCGCGATCCCGCACGAAGTAAAATGCTTCCTATCACGGAAAACACGACGAAAAACAACAACAAAAAAAAAAAAACAGAACATTGCGACAAAAAAGTAATTTGACCTATTAAGAATTGTTTATTTTGTTAAGCACTTGCACGTTTGAGTCGATGATTTGTCGCATCGAAACTTTGCTCAATTCTTTTTCGAAGAATAACTTGGAATAAACAAATGGAGAACGGCTGCTTACCGGTTTCGCTATCGATATTAGTTTGGCAAAATGGCAATGCGAGGGCATTTTCGATCGAAGCGAGCAACATGGAAACGTACACCGCAAATGCTAAAGAAATAGGCGACCCCATAATACTCGATACCGCGTTAGCTCGTAGTTAAAAGTCTAACTGAATGGGAATGGTGAAAGAGCGTCGGTTCTTAAACGAAAAATTGTACGCGACTGGGAAGCCCCTCGGACGCATATGTTGGGTCTTTTAATCCCTTCCTTTCTCTAGATAGTTGTATCGCGAAACGAGTCATTTCGAAACGAATTCGTTGGAGCCAATAAACGAAAAAGTACATCATCGATCCGTAATCTGTGATAGGTAGAAAAATTTAAAAGATAAAGCAACGTGAAACGTTACTGCGATAAGATTGATTGCTTGATAATTGCATTTTTACTTACCTGTATTACCTGTATTCTCTATTATTATCTACATATTATATACAACTTTCAATCTGACGATTCGCTGAAATATTTGACCGGTTAATACGAATTTGTCGTCGGTGATGCAGCCATTCGCCAAATACAAAATTTGTATTTAGTCGAAAATACAGCGAAAATACGCATAAATCGTTTCTCTGACCAGAGGATAGAATTCTCAATGCCAAAACCATTATCTAATTCTTAATCGAGTAATACTAGTACTGGTGTACGAGAACATCTTCTTTTAGCGTTTTACTCGTGTTTAATGCGAGCGACGAGCTTTTTTCTACGATTTTATACCAAGGGAAAATGAAAAGTTCAGAGTAGAAAGAAAAAGAGTGTTGATCTAAAAGAGCGTGCGTATGTTTTCAAAAGAAGCTTTTCAAATATTGCTATTTTCCCGCAGATGTCGCCGCATTCGTCGCAAAATCGTTAAATTCGTCTGTTACTTTACCGGTATATGATACATTGTTCATTTTCATTGAATAAAGCGAATATTTATTTACACGTATATACATAAATATCATAATACGATAAATATAGGTTTCAGGAGGAAACAACTTTCCTGGTACATACGTTCCAATTGTCGCAAATTTTTTGAATCCTTTGTAGGATGCTGTTAGGAAATGTAAGAGATCGTGTATACTCGTTGATCAACTATCGAGCATGTTCGTTGCTCGAGGAGATTTTTGATGTACGCTATTGCGGCCATGTGGCAATCACGATATGGAAAGATACGAATATTTGACAGTCACAACTGGTCGAATGCCAGAGTCTGAAGGTGGAACCGCGGCGAAATAGGAAGAAGACGATCGGTTCTCGACGATATTCCCATATTAAATATCCGAGAACGAGGATTCGCTTGCGGAACTTTGGATCGGAACTTTGGAACAAGCTGTATGGCCGAGTTATTCGGTTAGTTAAAGCGTAAAGTTAACGTTGTAAACGCGCAGTTAAACGTTGATTATTTGTTCTATTCTTGTAATTTGTCGAACTTTCGAAAAACTATTTTGTAATTACTTTAAGAAACATCGGAGAGGCAGAGATTAAACTTTTGAAAAATGAACCTTAAACTTTGAAGAGTCCGTCTATCGATAAATGTTTGAGAATCGGTTTGAACAAATAAATAATTGCCGAAATAATTCTACGCAGAAATCGCGAGAAACGATTCAGTTTTTGCGTTCTCTTCGACGTACTCTTCGATTATAATTACCCATATTCTATATAAATCTTACGCTTGTACATTTTAAAGTACGAATCTTTATGTAGGACGTCACTTTATGGCTTTCACACGTGACTTTATGGCTCGTTACTTGTCCTTTATCTCGAACGAGTAATCCAAAGTAAGTTATCTTGCTGCAATGGGAAATAGACGTTAATCGTTTTTACACGTACACGTTGGATCAAAGTAGAAACGTGGGATGCGTACCTGAAAGTAATCCTCGATTTCTTGAAGCGTGCGATTTTTCGTTTCCGGTAAAGCAACGTAAACGAATATTGCCTCCAAAAGGGCGGAAATGCCAAAAATTGCAAAAATTCCAGTAATGCCTACCGCGTCGCTTACCTGTTTTAACGATGCAAACGTTATTGGCAACAATTTCTTCCGATATTTTTACGCGTATACAAATAGAAATATTATGTTGCACAGGGACCATTCCGTGTCGTGTCAATCATTTTTCTACTTGATGTCTAGGATTTTGTGAAAATTTCAAGAAAAATATATTTAAATATAGTCTCTGTTTAAATTTCGCTTTATTAATTTGTCAACGCTCGAAAATCGTGGCTGAATACGACCGCAGCCGACTGTTGTTCTCCGGTAAATTTAGAAAAATCAAATGTCCTTACTACTATAAACGTTTCGAACATTTCAAACGTTTCAAAAGCGTCATTTACGTTCAAGTATCCTTGTTTGCCATATAAATAAATTATTAAGCGTTAAATCTTATATAATCGTGGACGTACCGTGGGGAAAGATTTTGTAACTATAAAGATGAATAAGTTGAAAAAGAAGAAATTGCAACCACCGCCGATTCCTCGAGCCCTTTGAGGAAGTAACTCGGCAACCATTAACCCTGGAAATGTCATCAGTCCCATGGAGCTGACTGCCACGTAGGCCAACAGAAGAATACCAACAACGTAAACCTAAAATATACGAATCCGATATAACAGATCACATTACTACATAAATCTCTAACATTTATGATAATTAAATAAAAATGTACACTCACGTCGATAGAAGATTCTTCCTGAATCAATAAATATCCTGCGAGGACTAAGGAAGCGAAAGCCGTGCCCACGGCAGAAAACATTCCTAGATATCTCCTATTTATTTTCAACAATAAAACACTCGCTATTGAACTAAACAAGACTCTAGTAATGGCCGTAATTACCGCTGCCAAATAGTTATTTATCCTGTTACCACCTGCGTATAACAAAATAGGTATACATAATCAGATAATATACGTAATTAATATAATAGTAACGTGGAATGTACAAAGTGTATGGGATAAAACCGACGTATTTCTTATTTTCTATCGATTACACTGTCCAACGAATAAAATTTGTTCTCTGGTCTACGATATCCACTAGATCCGCGTGATCCTTACAGAGTTGCTCGTTTCAAACACAACAATTTTCGCTCGACAAACACGAGGAGAATTTATGCGAACAGTCGAAAGGTCACGCACGATTGCGTATACTTGCAATTATTCTCTAAAGACGGTCATCGGTATTTGCGATTTTAAATAACTTTAAATAGCCGTGAAATGTTTAAAGGAAAGCTTTTTATTTAGAATTGCTGCACGAATTTGCTACGTAATGGCAGATTTCGTAGACGTTCTTGAAAAACAAACACACCAGAGAAAACGTGGAATGAAACTTAAAAAAGAAAATTAATTAACCGGTAACGTGTGTATCACAGCCGGTTCAGGCTGCTCTTGGATTCTTCGATACCAATCGTCCAAGTAATCATTTCCCCCTTTAATCGCCCCCTCTTTAATCATTTTAGGCAAACAAATTTTTAAGCTTTGCAACGCAAACGGTTTTTACGGTAGAGCGGAAATGTATTTTTCGTGTTGGTCGTTTTTGAGACGAGAAACTCTATAACGATGATAATAATGAAACTGTACGATGATCTTATCGATCGCTTGTGTGGTTCGCTTATTAGATATTCTAGAAGAAAATTCGAATCGATAGCATTTAACGAAAGCATTTAACAATTTGCTTTACAGATTAAGAAGTTGTTAGTGTTTGGTATTTTCTATAAATCATGTAGCTGTATATTAAATGCATAACGATTCCGTTTACCGATATCTTCGACGAGATTTACTGCATAGAAAACGATGACAAATGTCCCACTTATTAACTGAAGAATATTAAAGATATTGATGATCGTTAGTGGTTTCAAAACACTAGGATCGAGCAGCGTAGAAACGACGGAAGAAATTTGTCCGAGCCGTGACGTCGTGGTCGTAGCCGTCCGTGCTAAATCCGTTTTCATTCGAGCTTCCAATATTCTCATTTCGGCATCAACCTTTCGCAAATATAAACGTAATTTGTAAAAGTCAACTTTTCATCGTAAATTCATCATTGGCTTGCCGCAAGGGACGCGACACGTCACGTTGCACGTAGGCGTGACATTGCGAAAAGTAAAATAAAGTTTGCCAAGAAATAAGTAATCGCAAATGACAAAAAGTGACTAATTACTCAATTTTATAAGTAATAAAATTTATTATTCAGGCTTTTTTAATTGACTGTAGGAACGAATAGTTATTGGATAAAACGACCAGGCTCTCGTTTTAGAAACCGTTTCGCTAATAGGCTCAATTGCTGTACATATCTAACAATAGAGGGTTTTTTAAATGTCATTTTCCCAAATGGCAAACCGACGATACGCTTTGCAAATACACTGATTATCGCGATAAAACGAATTTCTTCGACTTTCGATAGACTTTCGATTCCGTGACTATTTTACAAAGATATCTATGCCTACATATACGTATTGCACTTACCTGTTGCACGTTACCTCCTCTCAACCACAGCAAGGCTTTTCTCGCCTTGTCAGGTTTCCTGCGTCTTACGAGCCAAGCAGGACTTTCCGGAATCAGGATTAACGCGATCAGTGCTGTTATGGGAAGAACGGTCCCGCAAAGAGCCACGATGTTCCACGTAAAACAAGCTCCTAACGCGTAAATGATGACGATACCGAGGCAATAAAAGGTGAGCGTACTTCCTGTCAGAAATCCACGAAGCGTCGAATCAGCCGTTTCACCCAGTAACACCTGTCAGACACGATTCCGTGATCAATGTCTCAAATTTCAAGATAGATGGGCTAATAATCTTAGAATTTTTAAATTAACAAAATACCAAAGAACGAAAAAGAGGGAAAAAAGCATAGATAGATTTGTACGGTAGATTGTACATTTACGTGACGCGAATATGACAACTAATAGATTGATAGATACGTATATTTATGTAATGTGGACAAAATATAAACAGAACGAAACATCAATGATGATGGAATAAAACTCGAAGGCCAATCTATAAGTAAAAAGTCATTGTGCGTATTAAAGTTAATTATTAATGATTATATGATAATTATTATTAATTATAAAAATATTAAAATAAAAACAATTTGTCCATCGACGAATTCGGCCGAAGAATGAAAAGTTTGTTACGCAATTGAAAAGAGAAACGATTGATACTTCCTACCTGAGCTGGTACTCCCATTAGGCCGACACCAAAACCTAGTACAACTCTTCCTATCAAAAGGCAGGAAATGTTTTTAGCAAAACCTATGACGAACCATCCAAC